ATCATCATCATCATCATCATCATCATCACCACCACCACCACCACCACCACCACCACTACTACTACTACTACTACTACTACTACTACTACTACTACTACTACCGTCTGAGAATGTGTTCCTTACATGTTCTTGGTGTTTTCTCAGTTTGGAAATCTGCTCTCCTTTAATTTCCATCTGCTTCACAAGACAATCCAGTTCACGTTCAAGATCTTCTTGAACATCTTGGTTCTCAGTTTCTTCTATTTGCTTTAGTAATTCTTGATGCTCACTGTTGAAGACACAATTCAAATGGTAACAACCTAACATCTTTCCTACGACTACTGTTCGTCTGCTCATCTTTGGAGGACAATTCTTAATTAGCTTATATTATATTACGATATAATGCAATCATAATGCTTACAGAAACAGTAGCAACACCTTGACTTTTGCTAGGCAATACTGTTTGTTTCAAATCTTATTGAGATTTGAAGAAGCGGCAATGCAAACAGGCCCTACCTCTTGTAAAGGATTTATGGGCGTCCCTCAGGGTAGCCACCCAGAGGAGCCTCGGCTGGAACAATCTTGTGGGTCAGACAGATGACATTAGGAAGAGACACTCTGACAAGTAACATGGGCCCAAACTGTGGAGGGCTTTGTATGCGAGTGTCAAAACCTTGAACCTGATCCAAGATACCACGGACAACCAGCAGAGGTGAGCCAGAACTGAAGTGATGTGGTCAAATTTACTTGTACCAACCACCCGTCTGGTTGGTGCATTCTGGACCCATTGAAGTCTCCCTATCCGGTTCAAGGGAAGCTCTGAGAAGAGGGCATTGCAGTAGTTGATCTGGGAGATGACCAGGGCCTGCATGAAAGTCCTGAGGGACTACTCATTCAGGTGGGGGCAAAATTGGGTGATTAATCTAAGCTGATTAAAGGCTGATTTGGACACGGCTGCAATCTGAGACTACAGAAGAATGCCCAAATTACACACTTGGTCCCTAAATTGGAGGAAAGTACCATCCAGCATACGGACCAGTTTGAGCTAACAAAATCTCTGTTTTATCCAGGTTCAGTTTCAGCTTGTTAGCTCTGGTCCAGGGGTCAGGGAACTTTTTTACCTTTTACACCCCCCCAAAATTTTTTTATATAAGCCAACATCACCCCCTTGATTTGAATGGAAGGAAATGATACCGTATTTGATGAAGCCACCCTTTTTCCTGCCTTAATTCAAGCCTTGCCTGTTCTTTTCATAGTTTTGAGTCAGTCTCTCTCTCACACACCCACACATCCTCCCTCCCTCCTTTTTTCCTGCCTTAATTCAAGCCTTGCCCATTCCTTTTTTTCAGTTTTGAGTCAGTCTCTCTCTCTCTGTCTCTCTCTCACACAAACATCCACCCACCCCCTTAAAAGGTTATACTGCAGCACGACCAATGTCATCTCAGCATCCCATCACAGCCTGAATCCAGACTGGAATGGTTCAAGGCAACCCTGCTCCTCCAGGTAGACTGCAGATGATTGGCCACCACCCTCTCGATCACCTTGCCCAGGAATGGTATGTTAGTGATCAGATAGAAACTGTTAAAGTTGTCCGATGCTAACTGGGGGCATTTGATGATGGGTCAGATGATGGTTTCTTTTAAGCAGGAAGGAAGCATTGCCTCCCTCAGTGATGAATGAATCACATTCATGACCCAATCAATCATAGCCCCCTTCATGGCTCTGATCAGCCACACTGGGCAAGGATCCGGCGAGGAGGTAGTGGGCCTACAGCTAGCCATCACCCTGGAGGCTTCTTCCTTTACTACAAGATCAGACTGAACCAACGGGGCAATGGGAGATGGGGCAGCAAGGGTCACCCCCGGATCAGCTAAACTGCTGGTGGAGTCAAGGTCAGCACAAAGTGTCTCTGAGGTGGCGATATGTGGCATGCACCTACTCCACTTTACACTCTGAGATCTCTGAAAGCTCCATCTACTTCTTTTTTCAAAACTGGAATTAACCACAGTCATTTCTGGCTTTCAAAAAAGGTTATTTCAGGGGTCCAAAATATGAAGACAGAGCCCCAAATAACCTTAAAACGGAGGCATCTGGGGGGGATGTTAGCTTCATGTTTCAGGTTCCGCACTAAGGGTCTTGGTGAACTTCATACAGTCAGTAGGCCACATAATTCCTGCCTCTGTTCTGTAAGCTCTCTCCTGTTTATGTGGCACATGCACGTAGAAAGTAACTAAGTTACAATAAACAGCCACTGGTAATAATGTATTGAGTCCAGACCGCAAAGAGTTTCCAGGCAAAGCTATGCAAACTTTCATTTCTGCAACTTCTAGGTGTCTTGTTTCCCTTGGTAAACTGCCTCTACAGTAACAAGGTGTTTTCAGAAGTAATATTATGAGCATAGCTCAGATCCAAAGAGCTACCTTAGGCATAGCTGTTTTCATCTTGGAAGAGGACCAGTCTGCATGCCACTTTGCAGGTATGCGTGCTTTTGCTGGGAAGGGGAGAATATGCTCTGCTTTTTATACTGTACTCAGATAGACATGGAAGTATTTTAAAAAGTATTACTCCTGCTTGTGAAAGTGCCTTTCCTTAGCATACTGATTGATCTCAGTTTTCAAAATAGTTTACTCTAAATCTCCATGTCTCAAGTCACTGTACACATATAGATAAATGAATACTTACAGGTTCATTTGTCCCAGTTCGTTCTGCATGATCAACAGAAGATCAGAAAGATTTTCAGTAGCTGAAGATGATGTGGAGGAAGATACTGGCCTGCATGCACCTGTCCTTCTTGAAATTCTCTTATCAGCTCCCTCAGGACATTGGGCAGTTGCACAAAGACCACGGTTTTTCATCATATGCAGGACACTTTGAACATTTGCAACAACAGAGTGACTTGAGCTGGCAGACTTGTAAGAAAAGTTAGCTCATTAGAAAGCATCTTTAAACAAATAATGGCTCATAATAGTTCTTGTTTAAAAAGACTAAAGATAAATTACTTACCATTCCAGCAACAAAAGGCAGCTTTCCCGTCTGAAGGCATGGCTGTGAGTCATATGTTTTTATCAAACCTGGATTTTTCTGGAAGTTAAGAAATGGGATTTATTCCTCTGTAGATTTTCTATATATCATGATATAGGAGTAGGAATAGCAAACTTGCAATTACATCAATATCTATTCTAACTTTGCTATTACACTGGTTAAAAAATTAAGGAGAATCACCTTTGAACTGTTTAAATGTAAATGTGTAATAGGATACTTGCTACTATGTGCACTGTTTGGTTTTAAAAACCCAGAGGCTTAAGAGAAGGAGCCTAGTTAAATTATTTGCTAAAGTTGCATTGTTGTTCTCCAGAGAATTTTTTTTCAGTTTTTCTGGACAAAAAGTTCCCAAAACAAACAAATGGAATGCTAATTTGCTTTCAGGTTTAGCAAAACATGAAAAATACACTTGGGAGAAGCTGCTACAAAATAAGGCATACCACTAAATTAGCACCCATGAATGGGAATCACTGCTCTATTAATAGCTAACTGACTATTCCCAGTACGTTTCTTGAGTACGATCACTAGAGTTTGCTTCAGAGTTCAGGCCTCATTAAAAACTGCCTCCAAGAACTGTTGGCCTATTTGATCACAGATAGGGACTTGCAACTCCAGTGCATCCAAATCAGGTCAACTGCATTGCCTACAGATGAGGGGGCTAGAATTACAGGCTTCAGTTTCCCATGGTTAATGTCTGACAAATAATGTTAATAAAGCAAAACTACAAGCCAGCAGCCTCTGTGCTAGATGAAGCTGGGATGATTTGCATGGCCTTTCACCTGAAGGCCTCTGTACACAGAGAAGGCTCAACCTACTGCTAAAGGCCTAGTTGAACTACTCATCACCTGGAGAACTGCAAATTACCCTATTTGAATGAAACACAAAATGAAATGATTAACATGAAAAATAACAAAATGTCTATTGATGCAAGAAAAGGTGGTTCTTATTGTGCATCTAGCAAACACAAACACAGACAGCTACATTATTAAGCAATGGCTGATCCTATTGCTTAGCTTCATATGCACAATGTGAAGTTGCGCAAATGGTTCAGAAAACTGAAGCATGGTGAAAGGGCTTTCACTTTGTGCCACACAATGGTTGTAACTGGAGCAACTGAATTGCACAATTCTCAACGCCTTGGCATAACGCCTGACACACCTGCAGGCATAACTTTACATTTAATGAAGATGAACAGGACTTCAACCAATGAATCTATTTTTTTGCAACATCCCACAGTTGACTGCAAATGAAGAATGCTAGAGAAGAGCACTGGGAATGGCATTTAAAGAGCAATGGTTCCCAACTGTGGATTCCTTTGCTCTTAGAATATAACTCAGAGAAGCCCAGAGAAATACTATAGCCTCTTGTCTGTGCTAATTATGATTTCTGGGTTTGACATTCCATATGTCTTTATAGGGCTAAGCTTCTACGTCTTTAAGGGAAGTAGATTCCTTTTCCTTTGAGAAAAGATAATGCAGATAACATACTCTTTTCTACAAGGGGCACACAACTAATGAGTGGCCTGGTTGCTAAATAGTGCAGGTTATAAATGAATGAATGAATGAATGAATGAATAAAGTTTTTAACAGGTCAAACTCTAATTAACATTGTTGCTAAAATTTTGGTCAGAGTGCTATTTATTATTCATTTATGCTTATGAAGAGAATCTGTGTACAGTGGTGCCTCGTATAACGATGTTAATTGGTTCCAGAAAAAAAACGTTATGTGAAAACATCGTTATGTGAAGCACCATTTCCCATAGGAATGCATTGAAAACCGGTTAATCCGTTCCAATTGGAACGGATTATCTGGTTTTTTCTGCATTCCTATGGGAAATGGTGCTTCACATAACGATGTTTTCACATAACGTTTTTTTTCTGGAACCAATTAACATCGTTATGCGAGGCACCACTGTACATATCTGCTTTTTGAGCTTGTAAGTACTTAATTTCTTTCATCCTTAAAGAACAAAATGAATATCCGGTATTTCCACCCCGTGTAATACTCATGGTATTACATGCTTGGTACTCCAAGGCAGTATCTAGAGAAAAGTTGCACTCAGGGTTCATTCCTATAATAGTGGTGTTGTTATGTGTCATCAGATCACTTCTGTCTCAAGGCAACCTCAATAAGGTAGTTTTCCAACACACACACACACACACACACACACACACACACACACACACACACACACACACACACACACACACACACACACACAC